CAACCTCGTCCATGCCTGAGCCGCCGTCGCCGACATTCCCGGCTCCCGACATCCCGCAGGCAGCCGCCGTCTGCTCTCATCAGGTGAGTCTCCGAGCCTCCTAAGCAAGTCACCGGAGATGACTGTGTCACAGAATGCTCCGGCGGAACAGATCCCTCCACCACGCCGCCATCGATGTCTATCCACAGTCCGCCGACTGATACATGTTATGTGCGTGTGAGTGTTTTTTTTTTTGGGACTGATTCCGGCGAGGCTACCGATTCAGCCCACCATTGTCGTCATCTCCGTCGTCCGACGACGGCGTGCTGCCGGAGAAGGAGCACCGGGAGTAATGTTAAGCTTAGGGACTTTGTTTTGAGAATTTAATAAAATATGAGGACTTATTTGCAATTTCACAAGTTTATATATATTACATTTTAGTATGTGAGTCAATTTTATAATTAAATAAAAGTCAACTAAATGCACAATAATTATGTATAAAATGCACATTATTATGTGGGAACATGGGCATTGTAAATCCCGTTATATTTTTATCGATTCACATATTTTTAATTTATCGGTTTAATTGATTCATATTATTGATTATTAAATATTATGATTAGTATTTAATATTTATTTAATTGATATTCTAATTATTTTTTGATTAAAAAATTAATACATATATAAACGAAATATACGGTGCAATCTAATTATAATTAAGGTGCAACTCGTACAACAATATGGTGCACAAAACCTGTCTATGTTGTGCGATTGAACCAACTGAACTCGTGTCCCATGTCAAATTGAAAACGAGCGTAATTAATTGGTTTATTTGGTCTGGTTAACCGAATTATCCTAAATACTTGAAATAATTTGTTATTTATATTAAAATTATATTTACTATGTTAATAATTTTATTATTATTTATTTATGTTATTTTTAGTTAAAAAAAACTTGAGTCCGGTTTGTTTCGATTTCTAATGTGCAATCTGATAGTCGCGATAAAGTGCAACGTGTTGTGCTAGAAAGTGCAACTTGTTGTTTTATAAAGTGCAATGTTTTGATGTATATAGTTATCTAGTAATTATGGTACGTTGGGTGTATAAATGACGTGAGCGATGTTAAAGTATTATGTATTCATTTTTTTTTAGATTTTTTTGTTGTTTGATATTTCGGCAGAAGTTGCGGATGTTAATTGTGGATTGTAATGATAAAGTGCAACGTATTTTTTATAAAGTACAACATGTTGAATTATAAGGTGCAATATGTTCTTATATAAAGTGCATTATTTTATATGATTACACTAACAAAATTGTTCCTTAAATCTAATTATAATAAAAAAAGTCAATAAAACCCTAAATTTCTAATTTAAAATTATTATTGAAAAATGGAAATAATTTATTAATTATATTATAAAAATATCTATAAAGTGCAACGAGTTTTTTTATAAAGTGCGACATGTTGTCTTACAAAGTGCAATATTCCGCTATATAAAGTGCATTAATTTATAATTAAATAACTAGATTTAATAGATATAATTGCACATCGAAATTAACCTAAACAATTAAATTATCGTTTTATTTATTATTTTAATATATATAAAGTGCAACGAATTGTTTTATAAAGTGCGACATGTTGTCTTACAAAGTGCAATATTCTACTATATAAAGTGCATTAATTTTTATAATTTTCTATATACAATATGTGTATTAAATAACTAGTCGGTAATAGATATAATTGCACATCAAAATTAACCTAAAC